AATAATATAGTAGCAAATAATCAGTTAAATCAGAATTATGACATCAGTTTGTAACATCTTTGAATATATCATAGTTATCGAAGTATAATTCTCGTAATTATAGATCCAACCACATCGCTTTTCTTTAAAGACGTTATCCATTATACTTTTGAAAGAAGTTTCTTAGCTCACATTTCCCTCAGAATAAAAGTTATAATAATTATTTTCTTTACGATCGTATTTGCGTACAAATTGTGCGCACAGGTTTTAATATACTACGCCGTAAACCAACAGTTTACTCATTAGCTCAAGTAATAGACATAATTTCATTTTCTAGATAGAAAAGCTATAAGAGATATTGGAGAACCCTTATTTTGTTATGCGCATTCTCATTGACTCATCAAAAAAGACAACCGCGTGAAGTTATTCAAGAACACACGTTTACGATGAGCTTTTCACTCTGAAGTTGAATTTCTTCGTGTAATAAGTTTAGATGACATAATTACAGTAATAATTCATGTAATACATTAATGGCGTTTTAATGTACCTTTGCGATTAAAGATAATTTGAAAAGCAGCTAATTTATATCTTCCTGAGATGAACGAGATGCTTTTGTTTTCAATTCCTCAGAGACTTTCCAGTTATTATATTTGATACGATGATTCACTATGGATTGTTTTAAAAGGTGTTAAATCGCTTAGTATACTAAGATGCGGCGTTTCATTCGATTACTTTCAAAAACTCTGGACCGTAACCCAGTAATTTTTCCGTCACAATTATCTTGCCAAGTAATTCGTGCGTTTAACTATTCTTTTTTTGAACGAAACGTCAATTCTCTTCGAGCAGTTCAATCGTGCAAACCTTTTCATTGAACTTACATCGACAATTTATATCAAGCCACTAATCCCGCCGAACGCACTCTTTTTTTATTTACTTCGATCACGTCGGCTTTATATATCTTGGCTGCGCGTATAAATTCAAATTCCAAAATACATTTTATGCGCTCAAGCGAATGCCCTGGAGGCTAGTGGAGGCATCAGCGCCGCAGAGTGTAGTACTGCACAAGAGAGACGCACTGCTATCCTTCGTGACTTAAATTTGGCGCCGGCGGCAATACACCAATATAATGTGTTTGTGTCTGTCTGTGTATTTGTGTGCGTCTGCCTGTGTCGTGCTATACACGAGGCGTGCACACGAGCTCAATATATAAGAGCTAGATCTGTTTCGACCCTCGTGCACGCGCGCTCATGGCGTCCTGCGAATATACTTCTCGTCCTTCGATGCACTTGGCTTTACACACACATACACACTCACACAATAAGAGGAAGAAAGAAAGAAAGTACATTTGATTGTTCGTTTTCTCGCGGGATATCGCGTGGTGTATAGCTCAAGGCGACATGTTCGTGTCACCATGCGCGCACTGGTCGTGCGTCTGCGATGCTCTTTTTCTTTTTCTTCTTTTTTTTCAACCAAGAAAAGATGAGGTGCCTGCGGTTTATATACGTATTATGGCAGACGAATGCCCAGAGAAGTTATTGCCAATATAGTCATTGAACTTCTTGCCTTTTTTTTGTATTGTCCTATCGAGTTCGTCGGGGTAAAAACAATCCACGAGAAAATAAGATGTCATTGCGTAAGAGGCTTTGGCGTTTTTTTGATGAATTATCTATCAAATATAACATTTTTCGATTTTCTTCACGACTAGTTATCAATTTCGTGCGCTTTACACTGCTTCACTTTCTGAAGTAGACAGTTCGAAGCTTTCTTTCGTTGACTCATTAAAGCTACAAAGCTGTCACCACTCATTTCGATAATGACACCAATAATACAAAAATGCACACCGCAAAGCCTATGAATGCAATTATCGTATTGCTCTAGGCAGTTATTCTACGCTTTCAATTCTATTATTTTCATCAAAAATTGCACTTCATTTCACTGGTGTATCGGCAACAGTCGTGTGTAGAGAATTATGAAAAAAATAATTCCTAGAAACATATGGACGAAAGTAGAGAATGGAATTGCGTGCGCAACTTATTTACGTTAATAATAGCGATAATTTTTTTTTTTCGAAGAAGGCTTCATGAGTGGGGTTAGTCATGGACAATTTCTCACTCCATGTACTGTGCATGGGGTTTTTTCTGCATTCAAGAAGTATCGTCGTCGCTATCACCAAGTTCGTCATGTACAAATAAGAACAGCTTGTGCTTTTGGAATTTTTACATCTGAATGTGTTAGAAATTATTTTCTAAATTCAATATCTCAAACTAGAACCACCAATTCTAATATACTTTTCCATTGTGTAACTGTCGAGAACTTGACTTTGAATAGGCACTCGTTATATTGTATAGAGCATTGCATAGGAAGTGTAGTAATGCTCTTTTGTGCCCCCATAGAATAAAGTAAATTTCAAAAGTCTAGCTAAAATATTCTAAATGCTTTTTTTGCATTTGGAGTAGCTAAAACGACTAATTGTTCGGTGCATTAAGCTGTTTTTGCGTACAGAATTCGCCAATTCGTTACTTTTAATTATCACGTGAATGCTTGAACCGAACAAAATGTATATAGAACGCACACCAACAGGATCCTGAAATTGATGCAAGAGTGGACGAAGTGACTAACTCTTGAAACTATTTTGCACATTCCAAAACATTCAATGTTAGTTAGAAGTTGCCAAATGGAAATGCAGTAGTTTATTCCTGTATCTGAAACTAAACTTCCCTTAAATTTCCATAAATTTGCATTGATAATTGGTCGGAAAAGAATATGCAACTCGGGGCGGGGCTTTATATCCATCAGCATATATTTATTCATGCTCGTACGATTCGATAAAATTCGATTTTGCAGCCCTGGAGAGTCAATTTACGTTCGAAAACGTCGTTATCGTCAAGATTATCGAGTCGTCGATGTGGAGTTCTTTGAAGGTCTCGAACCCATATCCCTGTATCTGATCGCTTTCTTTTCCCTCGAGCAGGTGAACAAAGGTGAAATTGAGTTTGTGCCGCTGGGGGTGCAGAGAAGATTTATACATCTATACCAGTTGGGTGTGCGACTACGACCTTAATTGTACAAGCAAAGGACTAATTGTACTATATCTCTCGTTAATTAATGCCTTCTCTCGAGTCTGTCTGGAGCAGTATGCGCGGGCGCGCGAGGCGTTACTGGCAGCGAGTGCATCTTCGCAAGCGCACAAGACGAAAGTGTCCAATCACGGACATGGCACGAGAGCTGCCGCTGCACCACTACCCGGGATATAACACCAATTTGCCGAGGAGATGCTGAGAAGCTAATGCTATATGCTGCGCAGTCGGACCTGTTGAGGACTGATGTATATTTCGCTACGATCACTGCGATGTTAGCGTACATCTGTACGACGTACGTGTGTGCGTGTGCGTTTGCACAATTAATGGGGGTTGACTGTTGTTGTACGTTGCTGCTATACTGCTGTTATACTACTGCTGCTGCTGCGGTGATGCAGCTTTGGTGACACGATGTGGCCCGACTGAGAGATTGCGATTGCGTGGACTAAGTTCGTTAGGGCAGATGAGATGCTTAACTTGCGGTGCACGCTGTTTGGGATACGCCTGCGATGTATGTCGCGTTGGATTGGATTGCACAGTGACTTGATTGTTAATTCCTTATTTTCTCGCGTTCAGTGTCCGATGAAAATCCTTTCAATTGCTGCTGAATATCTCTAGCTAAGATAATTTACATCTCTCGGTCGGTAATTATTGATTATAACGTATTTCTGAATTTATGCGAAAGAAATTAGCCTTGATTAAATTTCTACGATTATCTTGTCGCGTTTAAATCACGATCAGCCGGCATGTGAATCGAGCGTTTCTATATACAGCGACGCAGTCCAGATGAACTGTGAGCGTAAATCTCTCGAGCTCGAAGGTACACTCGGCGAATTATCTCGCACATCTTGACTGCGTGCCGCTCACGTCTCGATATGACTTTATATAGGTGACCTCGGATACACGAGCGAGCATCAATCATGCCTACTAATTTACTGCGATAACGTTACCTTGCATTATGCATAAACCTTATACACTCAATCAAAGAAATTGATATTTAGTTTAGGATTTGTTGATTAGAGGAAAAAGTGAGGGAACGATTTTCGGAAAATTTTTCGTAAATATCTTCTAGCAGAAAACTCTTTTTCGTGTTCGTAAAACGTCGAGCTCAAAAACTTATCCCTTAAATAGATACTTCGATTTTGGTACAGCAGCTGATGCATTATTGTCGGCAAGTGCAACGTCCTCGTACATGAAGAAATAGGAGCGTTTTAGTCACGCAAATATGATGCATTATCGAGCGACTGAGCATCCGTGTCATTTTGTCGACAGTCTAGTCGAGCTTGTAAAAATTCATATTTTTTTATAAACGCTACTGCGGATGCGAGACTAGAATTTTTATTGGTGAATGCGATTTTTTATGGATCACCTCGTGCTCGAAGCAATGGTTTGTTCTAGCTTCTTAATTTTTAATGTCATATATAGTGTTTGCGTAAAAAATACATTATCGCTTTGTCACGCATTTTAAATGCAAAAAAATTTTGAGATTCTTCATAATCAAGAGTATTCTGCTAAATACACGCCTTCAAGACGTTGATAAATAAGTACAAAAGTTCAAGTTCTGTAAAGTTGAATGTTTTTGCTTAACTTTGATGCAACTTATCATTGATAAGCGATTAATCCTCAATTTAAACTTAGTGATATTGGCAAAAGATAAGAGTTTAGTAGAGAAATTATGAAATTAACTACTTATTGAAAATTTGAATGCTTTATGGAAAACTTGAGTCACTAAGGTCAAGTTTGATTTTAATAAATATAATGCACCACGAAGTTTGAACTACATTTTTAAAAACGGCAATCATATTAGTAATATAAAATTACTAATGACAGTTTCAAAATTCTCGATTGCAGAATTTTGAGTAGATACAAATCTTACGATGGGTGTACCTCTCTTTTTATCCTTGAAAAGTATGCGTATGTCATACAATAAGTAGCTGAGCAGAATTCAATTTTTTTTAATATATTTATTTTAATGGTATTGAAAATATATAGCGTTAAACGCCAGATATAAAAAGTAATGCGAATATGCTTATAGATATCAGGAGCTTAGGTCCTGCAGCCATTAAGGACTACGCCACAAATCATCTTATTGATCGTTCCATTTATTTATTTCATAACCGAAAAAAAGACCCTTAAGTATTTTCACTATTTTTAATCATATAGCTTTTTGGAGCTCTTTTTAGCCCTTGCAGATCTTTTGACTTTGATTATTACATTTTTTTACATTCTTCATCACATTATTTTTACTGTTCTCAAGATTTTGGTTTTTATTTGCCAAGCAAATGTTACATAAATCTTCGTTCATTAGCGGCTCGATGATCATCTCACAGCACTCAATTGGTAGCCGGTACCATATGAGTTTCCAAAAAGATTCCAGCGCCCAACGCCGGAAAAATCCTCTTGACATTATCTCGCACAGATGCGCAGTACATGCCTCTTTTGGTCCTTCAGGCAGTTCCAACAACCCTTTGGAGCTTGAAAACTCTAAGCAGTCTGTATAAGTGAGTAGTTTCACCGCCTCTTCGGGTCGTAAGCGAATCAGATTGTACAGCGACAAGCTCGAATTTATCATTATTTCTTTTGCTTTGTTCACGAACTCCTCTTCGTCATAACGATTGTTTCCAACATCCACCGACTTTGCGAATAATCCTTGATTTATGAACAGTTTCATTATCGTTATGGCGTCGCTTAGTTCCACTATGTATCCTCTTTTCTCAAGGCATTCGACGACGGGCACAGCGCCAGACGTTGATCTCAATTTAAACTGAATGTCTTCGATGCCATGCGATTTAAAACACTTTTTGAAATTGCTAGAACGGGGAAAAACAAAACTGGGAAGATCAGCCCCGTGATCCAAGAGTACGTCAACCACACCCGGCAAAACATTCGCCACGGCCCATTGAAGGGCTGACCGGCCTTTCTTGTCTCGGGCATCGACCTGCAACTTTTGTTTCCTCTCGTCGTTGATCTTGAAGAATAGCTTCATCAATTCATAATTATCGTGTTTTGCCTTGCTTATAACGTGCAAAGGAGTCGATCCCTTCTCGTTAGCCACATTCGGATCGGAACCTCTTCTTAGCAGCGATTCGGTCATCTTCTTGTGTCCGTAGTACAAAGCATAGTGTAACGATGTTCGACCCAACTTGTCCTGGGCGTTGACTTGCACCGTCTGCTTGGTGTCATTGCAGATTTTGAAGAATATCTCCAGCAAGTCATCGTCGCAGCTTCTCATGCAAATAATATGCAGAGGCGTCTCTCCGTCCTCGTTTGCCAAATTCGGATCGGCGCCATTTTTTAGAAGCAATGTAGCTACCTTATGGTTGTTATAGCTTAGAGCACTGTGTAAGGGTGTGTTACCAGACTTTTCCCGGGCGTTGACCTGCACGGGCCAATTTTTGGCTTTGCTGAGCTTGAATAAGATTTTTGTCAAGCCAATACTGCGGTTTCTCTCGCTCATAACGTGCAGAGGAGTCCATCCGTCTGCATTGGCTAAATTTGAATCGGCGCCTCTTTTCAACAGAATTTCGGCAACCTTGTTGTTGCTGTGGTACAGAGCCACGTATAGAGGTGTGTTGCCAAACTTGTCCTGAGCGTCGACCTGTATCGTCTGATCGATGTCGTCGTTGATCTCGAAGAATAGCTCTGCTAAGTCATCGCCACGATATTTTCTCTGGCAAATAAGATGCAGAGGAGTAGATCCTTGTGAATTTGCCAAGTTCGGATCAGCGCCTAATCGAAGCAGGAATTCGAATATCTTTTCTTTACAGTCGGGCAGAGCAAAGGGCAGTTTTGTAATGCAGTGCAGTGGTGTGTCACCCAACTTGTTTTGGGCGTTGATCTGCACTGGCTGATATTTGTCGTCGCTCAGTTCGAATAACATTTTCGTTAAGTCACTATCAATGTGACTTTCTTCTTGGCAAATGAAGTGAAGAGGTGTAATTCCATTCTTGTTTGCCAAGTTCGGATCTGCGCCACTTCTTAGCAGTAATCGTGCCACTTCTTTATTGTCATTGTCCAAAGCAGCTAAAAGTGGTGTATCACCTGTTTCTTGATTGACGCAATTGGGATCCTGCCCGAGCTCGAGGAATTTTTCGACGATTTCGTCAAGACCATACGCACAGGCCACGTGAAAATGTGTGAGGCCAGACTCGTCGGTGTAATTTACGTCGAATCGATTGTATATTTTAAATAAATCTTGCACGATCAATGAGTCGTGAAAGCATTTAAACGCGATATGCACTGGTGTGGAGCGACGCGACGATGGCTTGTGGTCTTGATCGTCATCCGGCTTGTCTTTGTAACCAGTCCTGATTACAAACTCCATAAATTGTTTTCGTTTTGGTGCAATTAAATACCGGCCTCTGAATTTGCGAGTTACACAATCCGAGAGAAGCTGATCAATTTCTTCGGGACAGAAAATATCTTGGAGGTTTGGAAGTTGCCCTTTCCAATCTTTGATTAAGGAAACGAGTTTTTCGAGAAGGTTATCTCGACTTCTTTCGATTTTCCAATTGACCTTTTCTCGTAAGCTCTTCAATTTTAATACATTTTCTTGGTTGAGATGATCCATGTCTCACACCACACTCAAATACATATAATATAAAATATTTTTTACTTTTAATTACTACTGCAGCCGATGCGATCGTCAATCTTTGTCTACACTTCTGCATAGTAATTTGTACTGATTACACACGCACTATGGACCATGTAAAAAAAACATGTGCTCGAAACCACTGATCGTTTTGGACATGTGGTAGACAGCGGCAGTGCTCAAGTGTCAGATTCTGAACTATAATGTGTCTTGTACACACGAACGAATTCGACGATTTATCAACTCGTAAACAGACCTCGTCAAGTTGTTGAAGCCACACACTTGTAAGATACAAATATGTGCCAGCATAATAACATCAAATGTATATGACAATATTTGACGATTGACCGCGTGTAAACAATAATAACTATCTGTGGTTTTCTACGATAACAATCGATCGGGTAAGTGTTAGAGCAAAAAATGGTGAAAAATGAAAATAGATAGTAAAAGACAAACAGACACCAACATCGCTTTATAATAAGTAGATTGACCGGGCAAGCGAGCGGCCGTGAAGTGGTAAAAAATTAAAAAATTCTAAACTCAAAAATAATGACGTAAATAATTGTTTTAATGTGATAAAAATTTCAAGGCGACCTGTCGAATAGTTTTTGAGATAATAAAAAACAAGCAGACACCAACTTCGCTTTATATATACAGATATACAGATATTTAATTTAAAGAATATCTTAGATAATTTATAAAATAACATTGTCATTTTTATAAAATTTGTGAGTATATTTTATGCTTAGTAGTAGGTATTTTTCTCAGTATATAATTGTACATAACTATTTTTTTTTATAATTGCTTGAATGCAAATGACGTTATCTTTGAAACGCCAAGTACTTTCAGATCGATTAGTCTTGTGTGATCTCGTATGGTAAACGTCGGCAAGGAGATCAGGGGGACGGGTTGAGAATCTTCCTTAGCTTCGGGGGGAAGCGTCCATCCAGTCATTTATATCTTCTCTTGATAGCAGCAAGACGTGCTCAGCACGACGACGAATAATCTAATCGTTCTTTGGCTGAAGTCTCTTGAACGTATTTTCCAGGCTGTGCAATTTCACATTTTATTCGGTTATAATGTTGTATGTAGTCTCAAAATCAATATCATTCTGCATTATACTACGCGCAAAATGTCGATCCAATATATTGATACGCAACTCCAATTGCGACACAAATATTTTTATTCTCATTATGCGAATTTGAATGGATATTTTAAATCGAAATAGTACCCGAGAGTCGAGCGATCCAGTACGATCAAAGAAAATTAAAACGGAAGAAACTGACGAATGCTTCAAGCGTTCGGTTGCTTTGGCAGTGCTTTGGCATGTCGTGCACACGAGAAAATAATGAAGTGGACGGAGCAAAGAGGAACGAGTCGAAAGGGAATAAAAGGCTGTACGGTGCTATGCGATCAGGAGGATGTGCGATTCAGCGATCAGCCTCGAGTACGTCTCTCCCTCTCGATGACTTAGTGCGTACTCGTCGTTTTCGAGCTCGCAAAGAGATTCAATGAGAAATTATGAACAAATCAACGTACGTGAGCTATATTGAAAAGATAAATGATCAAGATCGATTTTAGCAACATTAATGAATAGTAACGGATTTTTGAAATCATTACGCGCGCGACAGACTATCATAGCTTGCTCGTATTATTTGTTCAGAGTTGATCGCTCGGTATGTAATAAGACAAACCGATAACGCTTTAGTGAGAGCATCAGGTAGATTTTGATCACTTTAATGGACTTCGAATAAATGACGATTGATCGATATTCCGATACGTGTACGTGCCGTATCACATACGTAATATACCAAAGAAAAATGTTCAATGAAATTTGTAATTCTTAAGTCATATTGATATCAATTCTCTAATAAATATTACATATTATTAATTGATAATATTCTTTGTAGTTCAATATAATTTTATTTATATAGAATTTTGCGATGCATGCGTTTTTCTTATATTCTCAATTAATCATTCCAAAATTTCTAACTGATTTAATATTTGTAATAACATTGATTATAGAAATCGTTTATGAAAGCGTTCTAGCATAAAACCCATGAATAATTGGATATTCATAGGATGATTTTTAATGTTCTTAACAAACGATGAAAATATTTACATTGCTTATAATGAGATAGACGAAATCGTGTATTTAAAATCTGGAATATGTAAATTTTCTGATAGGACTAAAATGATATTCGATTCATATGATCTTCGAGACGTCCATAATTGTGACCGCAACAATGCATTGTTGACGACTGACTTAGATATCGACGTACAGCAAAACGTCTAAATAGTGATTACAAATGTTAACAATGACAGATTTTTCTTTCCCAATATATTGAACCAATGATTGATTTTCATTAATGAATTTTAACGCGTAACGCGTCATGGATTGATCAAAAAACACCAACAATTAGTGTAACAAGGTGCGCAATCCATGCATTTAAAAAGCTCAAATCTCTTTTTGAGCTTTCTTTCTTTTCCTGCAGCAGAAGTTCTCATTGTATACGAGGAGCTGAACGTCAAATTAGCGATGCTCGAAAGCACACCTTCATGCACAGCGCAAGGAAAACTGTACATAGACTCGGCGCCCAATTACGCTTGAAAAAGGATTTTCTGCGAAAGCGTCGAGCTTAATCACTCTTAACTCCTCGACTAAACCCACCCATTCTTCATATGTGTGCGTGTGCATAGTTGAAGAGGTTCGAATATATGTGACTTAAGCAAAACTTTATAAAGTTACTGTCAATTTTTTTGTTCAAGTAAATGATTCTCTTTGAGTCATATTTGTGTGATTAACGTTTTTGCTCAACAGAAGAACTTAAGTTTGTCACAGAAAAAAATTGTTTTAAATGACGAAACTTTATTACGCAAGTTTTGGGAAGCAAGCGATGTTGCATAAGAACAAAGATTGGAAAAAACGTTTTAAGAAAACAGTTAGATTTGCCATTGATGTTTCTGCTTCATTGTTAACACACCAAGATACAGTCTCATTCCTTGCACAAATAATTGAACTGCAGCACTGTGTTGTATACTATCTGCAATACGGAGTAAATAACAAAAGCTCAGTGTAACGCAATTAGTCAAGGTCGCTAATCCAGCCGCCCGCGTCCTATGTTATACGGCGTGACCCTTCCTTTGTCTATATCTACTCGCGCGCTATCGTTCCAGCCGGCCGATTAAACGCATTCAGTCGCACGATCGATCCTAATAATAAAATCCACCGCTGCACATAGCTGTGCCCGCATATAAGCAAGCCGATAGGATGCGTCACGCATCGGTTACGACGCGTTAACCCTTGCTTATACGTTTAGGCAGAGCGCACACGAGCCTAATGCATGTGCAAAAGATCTCATCGCTCGTGAACATTTAATTATTCAGACCGAACGCTACTAATTCTGCGGATAATAATGTGATTTGCTTGCTCTCAGTACTTGATGGACGCAAAACTATGTGTATTTTCATTTTATCTGGTAATTCTTCATAAACAGTGTTATATTCCTGATTGTTTATTAATATAAGGGGACACACCTGTGTTTATGCCTATAAATGAAAAACATGAAAATTAAGGATTACTATTAAAAATTTTTGTTTCTGATGTTAAAATATGTTTTTATAGGTCCCTTTACAACAAAAAATATGTCTCTAGTTCCTCTTATTATTAAAAATCATCCATTATTCATGCATATTTTCATACTAACGTACAAAAAAAATGACAATAATAGCTATTTTAATAACGCTTATTGCTATACTTGGAGATTAAAAAAATAACTAAATAAAAAATCTGCTACACTTAAGTGGAAAAGAATTTTATTACAAAACTTTTAAGACCCCAAGGATCAGGATTGGTGAAATATTGCATTCAAAATCATGCGGTCAATGACTTAGAAATCACAAGTCAATGTACATGAATAATTGGCATTCAATTTGGGAGAACGTTTAGAAACTTAGGGAACAAAATTTACAAGGAAAAAATGAAAATTTGCATCTTCGTACGAGATAAACGTTTTTTAGACGTTTAAACGTTTTTTAAACGTTTTTTAAACGTTTTAAGCCTTGAAAACTACATTGACTTACGAACAAATGTCTGTACAAGTTTTTGTTTTCTCGGCTTTTTGGCTAACATAGAAGTGATGATCATCCGATAGTTACGACTCAAGACAGTGAATCAAAATTTAACGATACGAATTTTCACGTTAATAAACGATGCCTTTTATTAATATTATTTTTTATGAGGAAACTCCTTGCCAATAAATTGGCAGCGGTTTTTTTGTTGTAAAAGGACCTATAAAAACATATTTATAACATCAGAAACAAAAAATTTTAATAGTCATCCTTAATTTTCATGTTCTTGATTTGATAAAACGTTCCAGTTCATGATCAGGCGTTCCTTTTGCGACCAATTTTTAAGAAAACCCTTTGAATTGAAAAAATTATTCTGCATCAAATACAAAACATTTTAGATTTCATTTGTATATACATGCGCATCAAAAGGACTATTGTTAACTATTGTTGTTATAACTCTTTATTTTCGCCGACAATATTGACGAGGGTTGGACAGGAAAATCCATTTAAATTACTTTCGTCCACAGAAATAATGATTGCAATTCTTCTTCCACGTGTAGAAATAACGACAAATAAGAGATGGTATAAACCAGATAAAAATAATCAGTAGCATGTTACAACAATTCTGCTCTTGTTAATGTCACAAAAGATTAATAAATATCTCGGGTTAAATATAAAAGGATTTAAAAAGTATATAGATATCGGTTGACGTTAAAGGATGTTACTTTCGTACATGCATCTGTATTTTAAGTCTAGATTTTCAGTCTAGATCATAAACTGTTTCACGAAAGCCGGTCGAGTTGAGATTGATCCGAAGCATTCGCTTGTCAAGCTATCATTTGAAATGTATGACTTGCAGTTATCGTACACTACGTACCCTAATGATCTTCACTTGTTGCTACAGCAAAGAATAATTTACGACTTATCAGTTTAAGCCTCACCAAACTGATTTTTAATATTTTTACATGCATCTTAACTTGCAACTTTAATTTTACATTTCTCATTGGTTGAATAATAAAGTGAAAATCATTTTTTAGGACAATTAGCTTACAATATATTAAAGTTAAAAAAGTTATAATTAAATGTTCTCCGACTATTCATGATATTTAACAT